TGGAGGAGCCTCTTACTGGTGACTCACTCTACTTGGGGGCTCCTGTTGGGCACCTGGCTCCACCCTCTGCTAACAGTGATACAAGTTTGCAGGGTTAAAAACTGTCAGGGAGCAACTTTTGTTCCGTAGTATCCCAGATGAAAATGATAAAAAATGGCTTGTTCCACTTGTAAAGAAATGGTATGAAACTGAATTGCTCCCCATCTGATTGATGCGATTTCTTATAGTAACTCATAAAATGGCCAGGAATGGTGAATTTCCCCCTTCTACTTTACGTATTATCTCCTAACTACCATCCAATAAATTCAGTACTTCCCAATAGAAATATGTGCTCTTTCACAGAGCAAGATTTTTTAAAGGTGCCACTGATTAGAACTGTAAAATCCTCTTATAGGAATACTTTAATCCTACATCTTAGAAAAATACATGGTAAGGAAATAATTCACAACATGTTCATTTTGCTTTCTTTCTTTGCAGAGTTATAGTAAACATAACTCATAGTACCACAGGATATCATTCAAAAACAATACGTTTTCTGAATGTGGCTTTTGACAGTTCTGGAGATTCTCTGCTTGCAGGAGATCACCAAGGAAATATATATGTTTTTGATTTGAATGGAAACAGGTAAGATTTGTTATTAAAAATAGCCCTGATCAGTTGATATAAATAATTTTCACCATCTTTACATCTGTAATGTTTTTCATGCTGGGTGAGGTAGTGGTTTCAAAACTGAAATTGCAAATCAGTCTCTCACATAGGCTCCCTACATACTGTTTTATTGATTTAGCTGCTCCAAAAAAATCAGAAGATTGTAACTCTAAACTGAACAGATATCAATATCACAAATCTTCAGTGATCAATTAAATGTTACCACATGAAATAGGTTATTCCGTGAATAGTACTGATGAGTTAATAACAAGCTATGAATTACAGTAAACTAGACCTATTAAGATCATTTGCAGAAATATATGAATTAGTCTTTTCAGTTTTATACTATGCAGTTTTAAAAGTGAGCATTTTTTATATTTCTTTGCTCCCTTCTTTAACATCAATTTATTTTTATTTTGGTGGAATATATTGAAAGTGATTATTACTTTATGTTACATTCTGCGCCAGAGTTTGCTAACACAATACAAACAACTTTTTTCTTTTTCTTTCTGTTTTTTATAGGTTCCACCTTGTCCAGCGAACAACGCAGGCTTGTACTGCTTTAGCATTTAATCTTCGTAGGAAGACAGAATTCCTTGTGGCTTTGGCAGATTATTCCATAAAGTGTTTTGATATAGGTAAGGAGAAATTTAAAGCCTTCCTGAAAAATCTGGATTGCTGTGAAAACATATATAGGTTTAGTTTCAACCTCAAATTTGTAAGATTTTTGATGGAAGCCTTATTAATCACTACATGCCACATGTTCTTCTGAAACAACAACAGAAAAGATTATAGTCCTGTCTTTTATGGGTAAAGAACCCTTTGCTTCATCACAGCTTCTTGTTTCCACTGAGTCACACAGGTTTCTGCTTAAGTATAGCATTGGACCAAGATTATGTGTTAGCTTTTCTAAAGCAGATCACTGTATGCTGCCTCTATACCAGGCTGTGTGAAAACAAAACAAAATCAGTTGTCAGTGTATTAGAGTTTGCAAGTGAACCAGCTTTAAACTTTATTTACAGAAAAGAAAATAAACAAGAAGACAAATATACTAACAGAACTGTCAATACTTTTGAGCATGCAAGTAAATCTGTATTCTTATTCAAAAGTGACATCTGTAATTAATTTCACACGTTACATGTTTGTTTTTGACTTGATTACAGACTAAATGGTGAAAGGCATTGGCAGTTCATTCTTAGATAAATTAATCTTAACTTATCAAAAAATGAACTTGTAGTGCCTCCTATCATGTGGACTTAAATCTTTAGGGAAAAAAAAAGGCAGTAGAAATAAGTCATTGACAGTTTGAAGGATTGAGTCTGATAATATTGCTGGACATTTTAACCAACACTC